CCTTTCCAACCTAGTGATTCTGTGATTATGGAATTTTGCCACTGCTAAATTCAGCCATCAAGCTGATCTTTTGAAAGCTTCCATTAGGTGACTGAGTCTTCCTACAAACTTCACAGAAACCCACAATTCACCAGATTTCATTGTTGGGAGGTGGTTTATTTTTGGGTGGGGTGGGCGAAGAGAGGAGGAATTGGGTAACAGTTGCCTGCTGTTAGCAAGTTTGTGCTAACCAACATTTATTTCTGAGAAAGGGGAGGAACTCTATTCTGCTCTGGACTTCTCAGTAGCTCTTGATCATTCCCCATGCCCCACACCATACCATGCCAGTGACCAAAGGAAATGGGAAGAAACCATTTTGTTCCTTCTTGGTAGGCCACATGTTTAATATAGCCAAATCCATATCACTGCCCAGTCCGTCAAAAGACTGAAGGCAGAAAAAGTAACATCAGGATACTAGCCTTTCTCTGTTCAAACTAACGGATTGTTCTTTCCAGATAGAATAAATAAATAAATAAAAAATCCAGCTGCTATGTACTAGACAAAGAAACCTATTTCTTGCCTGTCCTCTTTCTCACCCAGTTTTGCTATGCCTTTTGTTTTTGACTGTAGAGGAATCCTGTGATGATGACTGATGAATTCTAAACTGAGAATCTTTACTGGGAAAGACAGACTAGTTTTAACATTTGTTTTCTTGACCAATTTTACATAAAATGCTATAGAGCTTGAAATAACCACAGAAAATAGTAGCCAAAAGATTTTTTTGTAATGGAAAATTAAAGTAGTCTTTACTACTTTCACACCAATTTTCCTTAGTGTTGCAATGTGGAATAATCTGACTTGTCACTTGCCAACAATAATTAACCCCATCAGACATAAGACTCCACTGCAGTCCAAATGCCTTGAGATTTTTTTCCCCTCTACCATCTATAAAGATACAACTCATCTTTTGGAAACTTTTGTATAGCCATAAACAACTTAAGTATTATTCATGTCTAAGTGTTGCAATACTACAGGAAAAAAGTAATGTATCAAAAAGCTAGCAGCATCCTAGCAAGTCGTAGGGTAGGGAATATGATAAAATAGGAAACCCAAAACTGACAGTGTTTCCAGAACCTGCCGTACTTCTAATGTCAACAGAAGCTTTTCTGTCCAGAAATGCAGTAAACATCAATGCATGAGCATCACTGTTGTGGTATCAACACACTTTGTCCATTGTCTAACACTAGAATTACAATTCTAAGTAATCCCTATACTTCTTGATATTTTTTATTCATATATTCTCTGCTTTGCAAAACTAGCAGGGCCACAACATCTCTGATACAGCTAAAGAGATGCTTATAAAACCAAACATTAGACAGGAGACTTATTTAGGAGACTATGTGGGAGTTACTACAAAATAACGGCACCAGCAGTCATGCTGGCATTTGGCATGTCTTGTTTTCAGCAGGCAGCTTCAACCCTCAAAACCTACCAGCTACTATGTTCAATTTTTTCATCAATTAGTCTAGTCTCATAAAGCTCTATTGATTTTAATGCTAAACAAGGAGTTGTGTTTACAGTTATAAACCAACCTGAGTGCTGGTAAGAAAGGGAATCCTCTGTAGATCTTTCTATGGGCCATTTGTTTTTCATTAATTCCTTCTTGGACTGCAGCAATCTGAGTGATTCATTGTAATGGTGCCTGCATTTAAAATAAAGGTTTCTGTGTGAGGTAATCCTCTCAGATATGCACAAAGCGATTACCTGGCACTTTCAGATTCAAGAACACAGTCTGCTTTTATGCACTTTGGATTTGAATACAATTTGTTAAGAATTTAGCATATTCATTCTACTGTGAGATTAGTATCAATGTAGTTAACATTTTTCAGAATTCACAAGCAATCTCCGTAATGGCATTCTGGTTTGCAATTCCTTTTTGAAATTCTACCGTTATGGCAATTTTGGTAACAACATTACATTTAAAACATAGTGGAGGTTTTTGCTTGAAACGGGACTGAATCACACTTCAATCACTAGATTTAATTTCTTGATTAAATACAATTGCCGTATGATGATGTTTCTATAATGTGTGCTCCGTTTTCAGCAGAAGACACTCCTGTTCTCTCTCCTCTACTTCACAGAAACATGTTCCCTGAGTTTTCACCATGTGGTTTTCCCTTTCATTTTAATTAAAAGAATCATAATCTTGAGAAACTCAAAATATACAATTGTCATAAGATTTTTGACATCTGCTATGCTTCTAATTTTACTGAGTTCAGATCCATGAAGGTAGGCAAGGATCCTTTTGTCAGTTTTTCCAGGTTTCTATTATCTATTCTTTTGCTGCTCCTGATAACTGGTGCCCCACTGCAATGCTGGTACTATTACCTCATGGTAGTGCCTTTGATCATGAGGGAAGTGCCAATCTTACATCCAAACACCTAAACTCCCTTCCTTCCAAATCAGCATGGCCTTACCTGTTCAGAATAGTCCCTGACTTGTACCATCCTGAGCCGTGCTTAGGCATTGCTCATATTGGCACGAGCCAAAACCGTTTCAGTTAACAAGCTCACAGTTAAACAGGACAGGTAGACACAGACTCAAGCCAGTGTCCCATCTCTGTCTAGTACATCTATAGACAGAGTGACCATCAGGTCTTATATAACTGTATCAAAGCAAAGATTATGAGTTACAAGGTACAGTCTGAATTCAGTATGTGTACAAAGCCATATAGAACCCTTTGAATGTCTGGCCTATAGAATGAGTTTATAGTTTAGTGATTTAAATGTACACTCTTCAAATCATGTACTTTTAACCACAGGAATAAGCTACACAAGTGTCAAGAACCTACAGCTAGACAGCCTGAATAACTACCTCCAGTAATTTTTGATGCTCAGCCATTGGCTGAAGAAACTGCATAGACAAGAGGTGAGAGAAATATGGTAGTAGAGAGTAGGGTAGTAGCTTGGCCTGTGCCTTCCTACATTTCTATTTCTGATCCTGCCTTCTTGTAAACAGGCTGATGCTATATATAGTCAAGTACACTAACTTTGTATCATGGCCTGACATTCTTGGGCCGTGATTCAAAAATAAGAACCCTTGGCAAAGAGCCCACTGCAGGACTAATGTTACAAGTACAGCAAAATCTTAGCTGCCAAAAGGTCTGTTCAGCA